ATATATTTTAATATACATTCGGGATAAACTAATCAAAAAGAGCATCTTAAAAAGCGGCTCCTGCAGGATGTTAAACATGTCAGTAAAACCTAAATCAACATTTAACCAACAGTATCAATATGTTAAAAAAAGAAAAGAAAAAAAGAAAGAAAAAAAGAGAGCACTTGCCTTGGCTCCATATTTGGAATAATTCATCTCTGTGAGTGTTACTGGTCGTAGTTTATCGATGTCTCCGAATGCAACTCCGGGAACATAAAGTGCACAAACCACATGCACCCATCTGAAAACAGAGAGGAAGAAAAGCAAACAGGCTGATAAACTGGTTTGTTTAAGAGAAACAGAACAAACTACAACACATTTGTATGCAAACCATGACCTGAAAATGTAGATTTCGTAGACCTGTAAAGTAGTTTTTAAAAGGTGACATTTAAAATGTACTGATTTCTGGTCACTGATTTCAAGAAACGCTATCGAATTGATTAAAATCTATGACTGGTGGTTATTTTTGCATTTAGTGTAGTGAATTACTGCAGACAATAAGAAACTTAATATCATGAAATTGGCTGCAGTGAGTTGCTCAGACACTTCAAAAAGAAATGGATTCATAGATTTATGTAGCCCCAGACTCTAGCTACAGTTTGGTGTGACACAATTTCAAATGCGGACTTTAGGGAAGAGAATCCGAAGTCCAATATAAAGATATCCATCTCTAGCAAGCAACAGCTTCACAGTTTAATTTGCTGTGTTTTTCATGCTCTAGTGAAGTAGTAAATTCGGGTGCAGCCTGGCTGAGGAGCACTATCAGCGATAACGTGGCTGAAGTCTCCACGCTTCACATAACACACTCTTTTCTCTCACTCCTTTTCTTTCTCTATCTGTTCTATTCCCTCCATCCCCATCTCTTACTCCTCTACCAGTTCTCTCTCTCTCCTCCTTAATCCAACTTCCTTCCTTTTTTCCACTGCTGAATATATGTGCAATTTAGCTTGTACATATATTGCCTTCAGCACTTCAACCAGCTAAGGTCATTAACTGATGCGTTATTTTGTTTCTGAACACGTTCCATTGGCTGCCTCTCGTAAATGGCAACTGACCACCGGGTCAATGCGCTACTGTATCCCACCTCCCGGCGTCCGTCTCTTTGAAGATGCCATCCTGGTTTGGGCACAGCTCACAGCTGGGAGTCACTCCATTCTTACAGGCGTCACAGAACCAAGGCTCTGTCGAATTCTCTGAGGCGGAGCTCATGATGGAGTCGCTCTCACCATCCACGCCATAACATCCTGGAAACAGAACGGAATTGCCAGTTTAGCAATATTAGCTACATTGTTCATTAAAGACAGTATCAGTCATCCTATCATGCATGTCACTGCCTCTCATAAAAGGCAATGGCCTGGACGTTATGGCCTGTTGCTACCCTCCAAGAAGCAGAAGGAATATAGGCCAATGACCTGAATGTTCATATCTGTCAGTGGCTAAAACTAAAAACACTTGAAAACCTCAAAATCAGGTTTTGGGGAGTCTCAAAAAACACACACTTTCAAAAATGTTTAATCGTTTTCAAAGTAATACTGTAATCATTCTGTTTAGGCTGCAGCATTTAAATATTTTATTTAATTCATTTGCACTATTATTAACTTTTAATAACTATTAACTATTAATTCAATGACTAATAATTATGGTATTTAAATACAGACCGGTCAGATTTAAAGCAGCAGAGGCCAAGATTTAGACTTTTTAGTCCCAAGAATAGGTCAAGCTCCGAAAACACCAGACCCATTTCCCATAATACAACTTGATGGCATCTTTGATTCAACCATACCCTAGTAAATGTCTTTCAAACTCCCCAATCTCAGCTTGTAAGGCAGGCTTTCTGTTGAAGAGTCTCGTGCCCAAAGAGTTAACACTGATGACATCACTATGAAATAATCAACAGGGTTATTTTCTCAGACTTGACAAAGCTCCTACAAAACCACACAAGACATTATACTGTTTTCACAGGTTGAGTAGCACTGCCTGTAACAAGTAAACTGATCTTGTTAAGTAAAATCAACAGTCCACATTTAAGTACAAAGTGATTTAGACAAACAAATATATATTAATTAATATGTTTGGCCTCTAGAGACCTGCTTCCCTCTACATTTATACAAGTCAAACAAATGTAAAGCAAGCAAAATGAAAACCAGTCTTTGTCCAATTGATAGAATAAAACAGTCCTTAAATCACTAAATAAATTAATAAAAACGTAAAAGCATCTGCGCTTGGATGACACATTTATTTCCTAATTTTCCTCATGTTTTAAGCTTGTTTTAAAATGTTTACAGCAAAATTTAAAAAAAAAAAAAAAGGAGTACTGGATGTCTAATGGACCCTTCCTAATCCTGCCCTGTTTTGCTTCAATAACAGTTGATCAACTTCCTCCTTTCCTGTATAGATATACTATGTGCTAGGCTAATCTATGTTGAAAAGACAAGCACATTTTGAAGACGGTTAAAACATAAAAGTGACATATATACACCAATCAGCTATAACGCTAGGGCCAAACGGCCACCCTGGTGGTCAGAATGTTCTGCAGGCCCATACCAACAAACTGTGATTCACTGTGTGTTCTGACCCCCTTTCATAGAACCAACATTAAACTGTTTCAGCAGTTTGAGCTACATAGCTCGCTGTTGATCAGACCACGCACGGGTCCACCTTCACTCCCCCATCCTTGCAATCACTTGGAACTGGAAGTTTGTTTTGTTTACGACCTGTCGATCATCTGACTGCTCATCTTTTTTGCTTCTTTTTAGCGATGTCATTCCAGATCTGAGCTCTCAGCAGTTAATATGGTGAGTACAAAGTTATTAAAACCAGAAATGATGGGCAAATCTTCAAAATTTGTAATAAACTGGGGG